CGGGAAGTGCAGTCCCGCGCGCTGCTCGCCCGCCCCGGCGACACTTGCAGCCCGCGGCTGCAGACTACACTTCCCAGGGGGCCGTGCGCGAGCGGCGCGGTCCGCCCCGCCAGCTCCCCCAGGTCCTAAGAAGACGCAGAGAGACGTGGGTTACGCAGGTTCGAGTCTCCTGCCCAGCTGGTGACCTCCGCCCGGTCTGTAAAATGGGGATAATGTTGGTACAACGTCCACCGGATGGTGTGAGTCAAACGATAACGAAATCCAAGTGTTTCGTAAACCGTCCATCCCATACTAGAGGGACAGCCGGTAATGGATGAAAGAGCAGAGAAAATGGGATGATGGTGCCTCCTTCCCTTGCCGGGGCGCCCTCGCCCACCTTTGGGGGTCGCCCCAGACTCCTCCCCCAGGACTGGCCAGTGGGGGAGGGAGGGACACACGCTCGAGTGCCGGCGGGTTCAATGACTAGGGCCACCTTGGGGGGACCCGGAAGGACAGGCCTCGGTGGTCCCGACCGAGCACCGGGTCCCCCAGACTCAAAGGAGTCTGAGCATCCGGGGAGTAGGTGTCAGGACCTCAGACCCCCCGGCCCACACATCACGGACACGGTGCGCGGCTGGGCCGGCGGAGGAGACTCCAGACGGCGGCGACTTCCGAGCGACCCTCACCAGTCCCGCCAGAGAGGGGGCAGACAGGGGCCGAGCTTCAGTGGCCACGGCCACCCCACGAGCAGGCCCCTGTCGTCCGCGTTTGGTGGCTGGAAGTGGGGCACCGCGGGCGGGACTTGGTACGCGGTGAAAGAGAAGGGACGGGCGGCTGTAGGGGCACCAGGTGGGGGCCCTTCCCCCTTCCCGCCGGCCCCGCCCCCCTGCCCTCGGGCGGGGCGTCCGGGCGCCCCACCTGCCCAGAGCGAGTCCCGCAGCAAGGCGCCAGATGCGGGGGCGGGCGAGGGGAAGAGGGGGGCATTTACTCCCCGGCGCAAGTTCGAGGGGGCTCCAGACCAGGCTGGCCGGGGAGTCACCCCCATCCCCTATGGACGAAGCCGGTGGGGTTTGGGGGTGGGCGCTCTGCCCTCGCTACGCCTCTGCAAGGCGCTAGCTGGAGGCTCCGAGCGCCCGGCATGGCGCCACTGTGGCTCGCTCTGCTGGCCTCCAGCTTCGTGTTCGCGGCTGGCGGCCTCACGCTCGCCGCGCTCGGGCTGTGGGCCAAGCCGGTGCGGGGCCGGGCACTGGTGCCGGCGGCCACCGGCGCGGGCTCTGCAGCTGCGAGCGCTGGCAGCGGTGGGCGCAGCGGGGCTTGGCGCCCGCGGCAAGGTGTCTGCGCCGGCCTGTGGCCCGCGCTGCGGGGCTATGGAGCGGGCGGCAGCGCAGACGCGAGGCTGGACGCGCTGCAGCCCGCGCTGAGCTGCTGCGGGGTGGACGGCGCGGGCTACTGGCGCAGCTCGCGCTGGGCCGGGGAGCCGCCGCCGCCGTCGCGCGCCAATGACTCGCTGCCCGCCAGCTGCTGCCCTGCGCCTGCGGCCCCCTACTGCGCGCCGGCAGCTCGGCGGGGCTGCTCTATCCGTGCCCTCAACTTCGTCCTCGACAACACTGGCTTCCTGGCGGCTGCTGCTTTGGGGCTGGGGGCAGCGCAGGCTGTGGGCGTGGTGCCGGCCTGCCTGCTGGGTGCGTCTTAGCTCCTAGCCTCTCTCCCTCGCCGCCCGCGACCCCCCACCCCCGCCAGCTCCCCTTAAGCCTCACACCCACAGCCACAGGCACTCTTATCTGTACTGGACCTGGCAGAAGCCAGGATTCCAGTCTGCAGAAAGCTGCTGGGTCCTCCGAGGTCCCTGGGGACTGGTGAGTGGGGGGAGGGATACAGGCATGTATGTTATTCCTCGGGGGAGGGGCTCCCTACAGTCATAGTTGTCCAGAGCCAGTTACACCACTACCCCTCACTGGGCTCTAGGACTGCCCTCCACACCTGGACAGGATACTCTTCCTCCGCCCCCGCCCCCGCCCCCGCCCCGTGCCTGGTCTGGGTCACCGAAACCCCCTGGCTCCCAAGGGCAGTGCCAGGGGTCTGAGGCCAGCAGGAGTCAGCTGCTGTCAGACTCCTGCTCAGGCTCAGGCCCAGGTGACCAGTCTGGGGGTGGAGATCATCCACCAATCCATCTCTCTCCAGGCCTGGCCCCCCTCCAGCAGCACGGCTGGTGCCTACTGGGCACGGTTACACCAGAGGTTGCAGCATTTGGCAGACCCTTATCTGCCAGCCCGCCCCTCTCCACCCGTCCTACAACTTCCTGGTCCCCCAGGGGATGGCCTGGCCTCAGAGGGGTCTCTCCCCTCGTTGGGGCTCTGGTCCTTGCCCCTCTGTCCTGGATCGGTTGTGCTCCTCCTGTACTTCTTTGGTGAGTCCCGTTAGCCCTCCGGCACCTGGGGCACATCACACACCAGAAGCAGGGCCTCCTGCAGCAGGGACCGCTGGCATCACCGCCCCGTTCACTGATGCTGGCCTACGCTGAGGTCCACTCCCGCTCAATTCCTGGGGGTCTGGAGCAACTCCAGTTGAGATCCCAGCACGGAGGCTGGCCTGGGAGTCGGGCCTGGGCTCAGTGCTGGCTCTCTGGGGTGGAGGTAAGGCTCCCCTCCCCAGTCCCCTCCTCACTCGTGAGATGGAACAGCAACGTGGGGCTCCGAGCCGGGTTAGAGGGAAGGGGACGTGGGTGGGGAGGGCATTACAGGGCTGCGGGGCCTCCCTCCTGTGCCATCAGGGCAAGGTGGCCCCTGGGGGGCAGCGAGGGAGACTGGACCTTTTCCCCCTCCATTTCACCAGAGCCGCTGGGGCCATCTGCAGAGGCCGTGCTTGCTGTAGGAAGTGAGACGAAGACAAGGGGCCTCAAGCCTCGGCAGGAGCGGGGTGGTGCCCAGCCATGTCAGCAGAGAAACTGAAGCAAATCCTGGCCAGGTGGGGCCTGGGCCGCCACCTGCAGGCTGGGCTTGGAAAGCCCGGTTTTGTTTGCGGTAGGTTCTGTTTCTCCCTCTGTGGGCGGGGTGGGGGCTGCCCAGGGAGGACAGCCAGGGCTGGAGGAAGACACGCTGGGATTAGGAGTTCCTGGGATGGCCACCTGGAAGGCTCCTGGGGGATGGCCACCTGGAAGGCCCTTTTGTTCCTCTGAGCACCCAGAGCAGGGGTTTCCTGAGGTAAGTAGGGGTAGGGGGGCGAGGAGGAGACGGGGGCGGGGGGCGGTCAGCAGGGCCAGGAGAGCCACGACCAAGAGTGGACACTGACAAAGGGGCCGTTGTGGACAGAGCAGGCGAGGGAATCTCCCTGGAACCAAACAGATCCCACAGAAGCAGGACACGGGAGTGGAGAGGTCACTGGAACCCCCTGGAGCTTGAGGTGCCCTGGCTTTGTTGGGCCTGGGAGAGTGGTGCCTGCATCCTTACCTGGACAACCCCCAGCCGCTGCTTCCACCAGGCCCCACCAGCTTCCCGGAATGTGGGCTGGCGGCGGGGGAAGGAGCAAGAGGAAGAAAGTCCTGGGGAGAAGACACTCGTACTGTCTAGAAGCGGCAGGAGGCACCGCGCCACCAGCCACCAGGGTTCGGTGTTTACTCCTGGGGGACACTGACTCAGGCCCGAATGTTCCCCACAATGGCGTAAAGAGCTGGGGACGGGTCACAGTTTTACACAACCAAGTAAGGGAGCCGGGCTGGTAGGGTTGCTCCTGAAGATGTGGCGGCGGCTCTACCCGACACGGGGACCCTGTGTCCACCCTGTCTGCAGCCGAGGGGCTGATGGCTGGGGCGCCCCCATGCATGCCCGCATGGTACCCCATGTTTACCCTGCACACGACGGAGGGGCCAACGGCTCGGGTGCCTGCACACACTCCACGTGGAATCCTGTGTCCGCACTGCATGCAGCCGAGGGGCCGATGGCCCAGGTGCCCCCATGACTGTGAGCTCAAGTCTACTCGCTTGTGGTCCCCGCCCTGGACTAGACCTGGGCACATGTGGATGCTCTCTGGCTGGTGGCATGTCCGTCCAGGGAGCTGGAAAGCAGAGGCTCCTCCGGGAGACGTGCAGGCGCTAGATTTGAAGGGCGGCCAAGAGCAGTGAGCACCCAAAAGCTCAGCCGAGCCGCCAGAACTCAGGCTGCACTGCAGGGGTGAGGGCACCAAGCCCTGTCTGCGGGATTGGATGGGGCTCATTGGTCCTGGCCCAGCTGAACGTCCCACCCCTAGAAGCCACCACCAAGCGTGGACAGGTGGGATTGTGGGTAGGGAGGCAAGTGGACTGGGGGTGGGTCAGTGATCCCAGCCTCAGTCAGGGAGAAGGGACCTGGCCCAGAGACCACAATGCTGAGGGGCGGGGTCACCTCATCAGCTAGGTCC